TACTTTTTGTTGATTACAGCTCCGGCTTCAATCCTGTGATCCCACACAAACTCACTCACAAGCTGGCTACACTCGGCCTGTACACCACCCTCTGTGACTGGCTACAGGGCTTTTTGACTGCCAGGCCCCAGTCCATCAGGATCGGCAACTTGACTTCAGTCAGCATTACCACAAACACTGGCGTCCCACAGGGTTGCATCCTTAGTCCCATCCTCTACACCCTGTACACTCACGACTGTGTCACCTCCAAGAAAGATAACATAATTTTGAAGTTCGCGGACGACACTGCAGTGATCGGTCGCATCACTGGAGGGGACGAAGCGGCTTACAGGAGAGAGGCGGCCGGTCTGGTGTCATGGTGGGAGGACAACAACCTCACCCTCAACACTGACAAAACAAAGGAGATGATAGTGGACATGAGGAAGAAGAGAAGGCCTCACCAGCCGCTGTTTATCCGGGGCCTTGACGTGGAGAGGTTGAGCAGCTTTAGGTACCTGGGCGTCTACATCTCTGAGGACCTCACCTGGACACTGAACACCACACAGCTGGTCACGAAAGCTCAGCAGCGGCTGTATTTGCTGAGGGGGCTGAGGAAATTTGGTATGTTGGCCAAGATCCTTAGCAGGTTCTACAATTGCATTGTGGAGAGCACAATGACCAGCTGCATCACTGCATGGTACGGCAGAACTACTGCTATGGACCGCAAACACCTGCAGAGAGTGATAACAACTGCAGAGAAGATCATCAGGACTCCACTGCCCTCTCTGCAGAGCATCTACCATCGCAGAGTCCAGAGGAGAGCTGCCTGCATCCTCAAAGACCCCACACACCTCCAACACGGACTGTTCACACTTCTGTCCTCAGGGTGGAGGTTCAGAAGTGTGAAATCCAGAACATCCAGACTCAACAACTCCTTCTTCCCCACCACAGATGGGCAGTAACGCGTTACTGTAATCCGATTACTTTTTTCAGGTAAGTAGTAAAGTAAGGGATTACTATTGCAAAAACGGTAATTAGATTACCGTTACTTTCCCGTAGGAACGCTGCGTTACTGCATTACTAAAACCGTGATTTTTTTGCGAGAATGTCTCATGACAGTGACATAAGCGAGTGCGACATTTGTGACAACAGCTGTGTGCAGATCAACAATGGATCATATATGGAGTGCGGGAGAGAGTATGTGCGTGCAGCGTTTAAAGCGTGGAAGTACTGACCTTACTTTGAGTTTGATTCCATAAAAATTGACAAAAACATTAGCGTCCATTGTGCGTGGGAAGAAAACTTCTTTTTACAGCGAAAAAACCCCCTAAACTTCCAAGCAAGCACCGAGTGCGTAACGACGTAATGGGAAACTCGCAGAGAAAGTCGCGGATTCTTCAACTGACCGCGGCACACCTGCACCAGGGTAAACCTCCGCCTACCCCACTCCTGCTTTACAGGTGAAAATAGAGCAAAACGACCGCTAGTCTTTGACTTTATTTATTTTCTGTTGTGTTTTACTTGCATCTATTTGAAAGAGTGAGTGTAAACACACACAAAAAATATTTTATGTGCTGGAATGTGCAGAAAACAGGTTTAAATATTAAACAAATTTCTTCCAGTCAGAGAATGTTGCATATAATTAAATTTTTGCTTGATGCATAAAGTTAAAAGATTAAAACTAATAAAACAAGTTTTAAAAGGAGACTTTTCCATTTGATTACATTTTGTATGATGGATTATGCTGAAAAAGTAGAATTGGGCTGAAAGATCTATCGCTTTATCACCTATTCAGGTTGTAAATCGTGTTTTTAAAAAGTAACTAAGTAACTAAGTAATTAATTACCTTTGAAAATAAGTAATCAGTAAAGTAACGGGATTACTTTTTTGGTCAAGTAATCAGTAATTAGTTACTGATTACTTTTTTCATGTAACTTGACCAACACTGTTCCCCACTGACATCAGACTCTTGAACAGCTGACCTATTTTTGAACAGTAATAACAGGTCATCCTGCATATTAAGCCAGCATATTAAGCTAACAGGGTTTGAATCTATAATACTTTGGCTAACACCCAATAAGAATAGTGACCGTATACATTGCGCAGAGATTGGCTAAACTGATCAGGAATGCAATAGCAGGACTGTCAGAACAGTTGACGTCTACGTTACTTACGACAGTCCAGAATAGGATGGCTGTTGGAGTGATATTGTTAAAAGTTGTCATTGTTGTGCTTAAAATTTGTAAACCTTGCCTTAAACTGCAGGCACATTGCATGTAAAGATTCTGGTTTCCTTATTTGGTAAGGAATGTTCACTTCCTGCCCTTTATGGGCTCACCTATGCTTGTATATGGTGGGATGTTAAAGGGTTAATGCATATATGGGGTGAGGGGAGATGACCCTTTTATGACTAGAGATGTTGTTAAAGGGAGGTAACCACATATGGCTACCAGGAAATCACGTATACAGACACATACACACAATGCTCACACACACAGTGGCTTAGCTTTTATGACACACCATATGGGTTTTACAATGAGGGGGTTGTGTAACTGTGTTCACTGATTAAAAAGGCTGTGAGGGAAGGCTGGAATTTGAAGTTGTCTGGGATTGGGTGAGGATCTTACAACTCTGAGATCCTGATTGGGCTTACCTTGCAAGTAAAAACTGACTGAGCTCTGATAATCTTGCTTCGTTCATGGTGATAAGTCTCTGAGTTAACGAGGCCTGCGAGTGCAAACCTAACAATGGCACTCTAATCCTTTTTCTTGGTGGAAAAAGGATTGGTGTGTTCAGTGTTTGGGTTGGCTTGTTGTACATATATTCCAAATGATACAGCTTCAGACGGGTCAGTTACCAGGGCATGGAAGGACTACAGACATATTACAGACTCAATAAACTGATCCGCAAGGCCAGCAATGTTCCGGGGATGGAGCTGGACTCCCTTAAGATGGTGTCGGAGAGGCGAATGTTTTCCAAGATAAAGACATTGGTGGATAATTCCTCCCACTCACTCCATGACATGCTGGCTAGCCACAGGAGCACATTTAGTGAGAGACTGAGAATACCAAAAAGCACCACTGAACGACACAGGAAATCATTCCTGCCTGTGGCCATCTCCCTTTACAACTCATCCACCTAACACACTGTATACTGCAATAGCTACACCCTTTTTGAATATGCTCTTCTTTCTTATTGAGATATTTATCAGTAAGTGACTTATATGCATGTATATATTGTATATATACAGGACTCTTCCAGACACTCTAAACCCAGGCACAATGTTCATTTCAAATTCCTTTAATTTTAAATATGTTTATATTGTCTATCCTGTAAAATAGTCAGATGTTTATTCATATTAATGTACAGAATTCACCTGCTTGCTGCTACTACTGTACATTCACCCAATATATATATATATAATGTTCTTCCTCTACCCCCCCAATTTTTGCACATGTCGAGGAGCGTGTCAGGCTACATTTCACTGTGTGTTATACTTATATAACTATGCATGTGACAAATAAAGAACCTTGAACCTTGAACCTATATATTGTGCTATTTCTTACTTCTTGTATTGTCTGTTTTTGTTACTGTTTGCACTGGAGCGCTGTAGCCCACATAGTTTCCCCTAGGGATCAATAAAGTATGCTGACTCTGATTCTGATCAAGTGAGATGAATGAATTTTCTGGCATTGGAGATCCTTTGGGTGAGTGGTTGACTAATACATTTGGAAAATATAAAGCCGGGTTGTTCTTATTTACTTCAATCAGTGATGAACAGTAAGATGTTCTAGCTTTACGGAGGGCTTTCTTATAAAGCAGCAAACTATTTCTCCATGATAACAGTTGGTGGATTATATTCTTAAACTTAGTTACAATTGAGTCTAATAACAGATTAAATGCCATGTTGAGGCTGTCGTTTTTAGCATCTACATGGATGTTAAAACCACCAACAATAATTATTTTATCTGAGGTGAGCATTAAATCAGATAAAAAATCTGAGAAATAAGACAGAAACTCTGTGTAAGGCCCAGGTGTATGATAGATGATAATAAATAAGATTTTTTTGAGTCTTCCAGCTAGGATGGACAAGGCTGAGCATCAGGCTTTCAAATGAACTAAAAGTCTGTCTTGGTCTTTGGTTTATTAACAAGCTTGTGGTGGTGAATGACAGCATCATCAGGAAGAAGGAACACAAAAAGCTTGAGAAGTACCAAGGCCTCAGAGAAGAGCTTGAGAAGATGTAGAGCATGAAGGTAACAGCGGACCCAGTAGTAATCGGAGAACTAGGTGCAATGACCCTCAAGCAAGTGGAGTGGCTCCAGCAGATCCCAGGAACCGAGATTGGTCATTTTTTATTGTCCTAAATATCTCGATACATAGACACTTTCTCATCCTTTACTTGGACTAGCCACCAATTTTATGTTGATTTTGTTGTCATGTGTGTAGAAAAATGTGTTTGTCTTTTTCCTCTCATAACACATGCATGTTAATGTAAAAACTTCTGTTGATTTTTTATGGGTTTTTGTATAGATTTACTTTAAGGCCTTGACATATTTAAGGCATATTTTGCCCATTTTGCCCATTTGTTCTCCAGACCTTCTTACTTTATGACACAACAGGATTGAAAAGATGAAACTACATTTGTTAGGATAACCATCAGTGCTTCTGTTCAATGTGAAACCCAGTAATATCATGTTAAAAACAAATGTTCCATATTAACACAGTTATCCTTTTTTTCAGTTTCTAATTTATAGATGAAAAAGCATTGGCATTTTTATAAAATGTTACGATCACAAAATAAGTTCCAACAGGCCACAGTTGACATCATTTTAGACACTGACACATCAACAAATGGTTCCTTTGTACAAATATTATTGCAACGCTGTAATTATTATTGTTTTTATGATGGAAATGAGTACTGTCTTTACTGACTTCTTATCAACTGAAAATAAATTTATCAGTATGAATATGTACCTAAGCACGTAAACCTCTTTAGTGTTAGTTATAGTGATTCTTACCTGTGTACAGTTTATCTTTCTTTGCATCATACAGCAACCCCAAGGCAAAAGGGCGATTCAGGGCGGCCACCTCTACTTGTTCTGAGTCCATATCTCCAACTTGAGAGAGAAGATTCAGCAACATGTGTCAAAGCATCATAAAACTGAGAGGCAGTGCAGGAGTTTCTGATATATCTCTCTGACAACAGAGAGATGGACAAAGGAAGGAATAATATAGTTTGAAAAAAGTTTCACGTCTAAATTCTGAAGACAAAAAATATAAATTCACACATTAAAAAAAAGTGAATGCTGATGATGAAAGGAAAGATAACTACTATTGTCTCCACCCCCAGTAACTCATTACCTGGTGAAGGTGTGCAGCTCAGCTGAGACACTTGAAAGTCTTCTTGACTTTGACAGGATGACAGTCTGCAGACATTTTTATACCCTGAAATTTAACTCCTCCCCGACATGAAACATTCCAATCAAAGATGTTGTGTTTTACATAAAAAATAAAAACAAAACACAAAAAAACAGCCAGTGGACAGTAAGCCCATTCTCTTTTAAATGACAATCAGAAATAATTTTGCATGCGATGTATCTGGTGCTTAATTCCTACATTGACTACATTTTCAGAAATTTCATGTGCTGTCTCCAAAAAAATGCTTTTGGCAGGTATATGCAAATTTCTCACTTATGATGTTGTTGAAGCGTATTGTTATCAACTCAGATCAGAGTGCAGTCCACATGGCACACACAGTAAGTGTGTAAAGTTTATTTATTAAGCGCTTTCCGTAGACAGGCAGTCACAAAGCTCTGCACACAAAGGTTAAAATAAATGGAACACTGAGTTCCAAAATACACAATATAGGCAATACATGTAAAATAAAAATTTACAATTGTGTAAAAAAACAACAACACTTTAATCAACAAAAGGCTTGTTTAAACAGAGAAATTTTCAACTGCTTTTTAAAGGATTACACAGAGTCAACCAAACGTAGTTGTGGTGCTAAACTGTTCCACAGCCTTGGTGCCACTTCCTCCGTCTTCTTTGGAATGCATAAAGGAGTTTGAGTTCCACTTCTGTTTCAGAGCTCTCCTGACCGTGTAACTGTGATGTCCACTGTCTCTTTGGCTCTCCTGCATGCAGTAGTTAAATTGCTTGGCCACAGAAAATTCCACCACACCATAAAAATCATTTCATTCAGGAAAATGCTGTCTCAGTGTAGACGGGAGGCCAATACGGAGAGAAAACGATGCATTTTCAAACGAAAACGCATTAGTGTGGACGTACCCTAAATCAAAATGACTGTTGGTTACCTGTTTGAACAGATCTGTTTACTCACATAACTGGAAACAAGCCTAGTTCTTTGGTATTCTGCTTTTTACTGGCATATCTGAATCAACACAGTTCTCAGAAAGCTTTTCAACTTGTATAAACAAGTGCTGACACACACACACACACACACACACACACACACACACATCTGGTGCATGAAAGCCTCTCATTCTGAACTTAATACTTTAGTTCACAGGTGTCGAACTCCAGGCCTCGAGGGCCGGTGTCCTGCAGGTTTTAAGATAAGATAAGATAAGATAAGATAGAACTCACATAACTGGAAACAAGCCTAGTTCTTTGGTATTCTGCTTTTTACTGGCATATCTGAATCAACACAGTTCTCAGAAAGCTTTTCAACTTGTATAAACAAGTGCTGACACACACACACACACACACACACACACATCTGGTGCATGAAAGCCTCTCATTCTGAACTTAATACTTTAGTTCACAGGTGTCGAACTCCAGGCCTCGAGGGCCGGTGTCCTGCAGGTTTTAAGATAAGATAAGATAAGATAAGATAGAACTTTATTAATCCCTCGGGTGGGTTCCTCTGGGAAATTCGATTTCCAAAAAAGCACAGCACCGACAGAAGTTACAGAGTTATACACACACACATATATATAAATACAGAGACAATATAAATAAAATATACGAAGGGGATAAATAGAATAAATAGGAATAAAAAATAAAAATACAAGTGAATTGCACATTTCAAGTATTGAGTCTATTGCACCGTTGACTATTTACAAAAGTATTGCACAAGGTATTGTACAGTGAGGTGAAGAGGCACTACAGCTTAGTTGTTCCCCCCTCCTTTGTCCTCCTGTTTCCCCTCCCTCTCCCCTCCAGAGAGGAGTTAAACAGTCTGATGGCGTGTGGGACAAAGGAGTTTTTAAGTCTGTTAGTTCTTGTCTTTGGGAGAAGCAACCTGTCACTGAACAGACTCTTCTGGTTGTTAATGGCCGTGTGCAGAGGATGCCTGGCATTGTCCATAATGTCCATCAGTTTCTTTAATGTCCTTTTCTCTGCCACTGTCACCAGAGTGTCCAGCTTCATGCCGACCACAGAGCTAGCCCTCCTGATCAGTTTCTCCAGCCTGGATGAGTCCTTCTTTGCTGTGCTGCTCCCCCAGCACACCACAGCATAGAAAAGTACTCCAGCAACCACCGACTGGTAAAACATCCTCAGGAGCTTCCTGCAGATGTTAAAAGACCTCAGCCTCCTGAGGAAGTACAGTCGGCTTTGGGCTTTTTTATACAGGTGCTCTGTGTTGCATGACCAGTCCAGTTTATTGTCCACCCACAGCCCGAGGTACTTGTACTTGTTGACCACCTCCACCTCCTCCCCCTCTATCTGAACCGGCAGTGGACCTGCTCTAGACCTCTCGAAGTCCACAACCAGTTCCTTAGTCTTTGAGGTGTTGAGTTGCAGGTGGTTTGTGTGACTCCATGCGACAAAGTTCCTCACCAGACTTCTGTACTCCTCTTCCTGATCATCCCAGATACACCCCATGATGGCTGTGTCGTCTGCAAACTTCTGAATGTGGCATAATTCAGAGTTGTAGCAGAAGTCAGAGGTGTACAGGGTGAAGAGAAGAGGGGACAGCACAGTTCCCTGTGGTGCTCCTGTGCTGCTGACCACTGTGTCAGACGTGATGTCCTTCAGCCTGACGTACTGTGGTCTGTCGGTGAGGTAGTCGGAGATCCAAGCCACCAGGCAGGGGTCCACCTCCATCCTGTTCAGTTTTTCCTGAAGCATACAGGGCCGGATGGTATTAAAGGCACTGGAAAAGTCAAGAAACAGGATCCTGACCGTGCCTTTTCCCCCATCCAGGTGTGAGTGGGCTCTGTGTAGGAGGTACAGGATGGCATCCTCCACTCCGACACCTGCCTTGTATGCAAACTGTAGTGGGTCCTGGGCATGTTGTACCTGTGGTCGGAGGAGGTTGAGGAAGAGCCGCTCTAGAGTCTTCATAAGATGTGACGTCAGTGCCACCGGTCGGAAGTCATTCAGCTCATTGGGCCGGTTCTTTTTGGGGACCGGGACGATGCAGGATGTCTTCCATAGGGCGGGCACTCTCCCCAGTCGCAGACTGAGGTTGAAGACTCGTTGTAGCGGCTCCCCAAGTTCAGCAGCACACGCCTTTAGCATCCTAGGACACACCTTGTCTGGGCCTGCTGCCTTTCTGGGGCGAAGCTTCCTCAGTTGTCTCCTGACCTGATCCACTGTGACACTGGGAGATGTTTGGGAAGAGGGGAGGGGGGGAGATGTCTTGCTGCTGAGAGAGGGATTGGAGGAAGGGGGTGTCATGGTGTCAGGAAGGGGGGAAGCGAGGGAGGTAGGAGAGTGGGGATTGGACTCTGTAGTGAAGGTGAGGGTGGGGGGGTTGTGGGCTGGTCAAACCTGTTGAAGAAGTTGTTGAGTTCGTTTGCCTTCTCCACAGTCCCCCCCACTGTGCTTTTCTTGGTGTTGTGGCCTGTGATGGTTTTCACACCATTCCAGACCTCCCTCATATTGTTCCTCTCCAACTTCTGCTCCACCTTCCTCCTGTAGGTGTCCTTTGCTTCCCTCAGGCAGCGTTTCACCTCCCGCTGTGCTGCCTTCATCTCCTCCTTCACTTTGCTCCTGAAAGCCTTCTTCTTCATGTTGAGGACAGCTTTGACTTCCTGTGTTACCCACGGTTTGTTATTAGGATAACACCGTACCGTCTTAGCAGGGGCGACCGTGTCCACACAAAAGTTGAGGTAGTCTGTAAGACAGTGTGTCGCCCCCTCTATGTCCTCACCATGTGGGCTCAGGAGCACATCCCAGTCTGTGGTGTCATAGCAGTCTCTCAGAGCATCCTCCTTTTCTGGGGTCCATCTCCGGATGGAGCGCGTTGTGACAGGCTGCCTTTGGACGAGGGGTGTGTATTGTGGCTGTAGGTAAACCAGGTTGTGGTCTGACTTCCCTAGTGGGGGGAGGGGGGTGGCTCTGTATGCATCTCTCACATTAGCATACAGTAGGTCAATTGTCCTGTTGCTCCTTGTGGGACAATTCACAAACTGGTGAAAAGCAGCCAGAGTAGAGTCCAGTGTGGCATGGTTAAAGTCTCCAGATATAATAATGAAAGCCTCGGGGTTTTGTGTCTGAAGTCTTGCTGTGACTGTGTGTATTTTCTCACAGGCAGCTGTTGCGTCGGCCCTCGGAGGGATGTAAACACACACACACAGATCACATGACTGAACTCCCGAGGTAGATAATATGGCCGCAAGCTAACAGCTAGCAGCTCCAGGTCCGGACGGCATACCGAAACTTTAACGGAGACGTGTCCAGGGTTACAGTATCTGTTGTTAACGTAGACAATGAGTCCCCCACCTCTGCTTTTTCCGCTGGCCTGCGTGTCCCTATCGGCTCTCACGGGTGTGAAACCGCATAGGTCTACGTTAGCCTGCGGCGTTAGCTCGGTTAGCCACGTCTCCGTGAAGATAAACAAGCTGCACTCACGGTATAGTCTGTGGTTGTTCAGAGCGCACAGTTCGTCAATCTTATTCTGTAACGAGTTCACGTTGCCCATGATCACTGTCGGGATTGATGGTTTGAATCGCCTCCGGTGATCCGCTCTCCTCGCTCCAGCTTTGCAGCCTCTGTAGCTCCTCTTTAGCTCGGCCGGGATGTTGTGTCGCATGCCGGTCTGTCCCTTTGTTTTTAGTGCCAGCAGCTCCGCTCTCGAATAGATGAAGGAACTGGTTCCAGAAGTTTTAAAAAGTGCATTATCCATCTTGTATCGC